AGGGAGTCCTAAGCTGGTTTGTGTGTGTGTGTGTATGTGTGTGTGTGTGTGTGTGTGTGTGTATGTATATATATATATATATATATGTATATATATATATATAATTGATTTCAAGAACCCTTCACTTGAGTTCTTATAATAGTCAGATATAAAGGAAGAAAAATGTCTTCTTTTTGTAGGAAAATCATCAACTCTGCATTTTGGAAATTGTCTTAGAGTCAGTATTGTATGGTGCTTAAGAGCGCAGGCCTGGTACCTTGTCACCTGGGTTGGAACCCCAGTCCTTCCACGTTACCAGCTGTGTAACCTTAAGCAAATTCCTTTATCTCCATGTGCCTCGTCTGTTAAATGGATGCGATAATGCCTTCCTTCAGGAGTTATGGTATTAAGCTTAAAGTATTTACAACTGTACCTTGTACAAAGTAATTCTTATTGTCAGTTCCAAACCTAATATTTTACAAATCAGATCACCAAGACTCGGAGGTAAATTCAGCAGTCACAAAGCACTTTGGCATCGTTACTATTTAGTAACAAGTTGGGGTGAGCAACTGGCTCCATATTCTATCTTGATTTTAGCATTGAATGTCCCGCATTCTGGACAAACTGGGACAACTGGTGACTCTGCAGTGATGAGGATAAAGTCACATGAAGGGAATCAGCTGAATGAGGCCATCACTATAGAGGAGATTTCCTTCTGGAAGGGAGCAATGTTGCTACTGAAGCTATAACTCCAAATGCAGGCACCTGGTGTGAGACTCAGAGCAGTTACAAAAGCATCTGTCAGGTTGTGTGTGACCATATAAAGCAGAGGTTCTCCAGCAATGTGTTAGTGTGGTGGTCGGCATTTTTCAGACAGGCTTTCTATCCCCAGGGGCATTTCAGCCCAGCAGATGTGGGCTGGTCTCATAAGCTGAAGGTCTGTCCTGACATTTACAGAATGGAGTTCTAAATAATAATTTAAGATTGCATTTGTTGAGCATTTATCTCAAAGGAGCTCGGTGTGCTTGGCAGTCATGATTTTAATTAATCCACACACTGCCTCTGTGTGACACAGAGCAGGCAGGTGTAATTATCTCTGGTTTGCAGATTATATGAGTTGGAGGTACGCCTGGTTATAAGGTGCCTTGGAAAAAGATGCTCCACTCTGATAATGGGTTTGGTTTGGTTCCCATTCTTTCCAGTGAGCCTTAGACTTGATGTGACTCTAGGGAACCCTAAATGAACATTATAAACAATGCACTCCGTAGTGCTAGTCCATCTGTCTTTGCTTGTCACGCGATATATCTGGTCATCCTATTGAACAGCCTGTGCCCAACAGGCAGAAAACTGAGCCATGACATAGTCATCAGGCCAGGCCTCCGGAGGTCAGTCCCTGCTCAGTCCACTCCCTGCACAAAAAATGTGTACGCTATGCCTTTGTGTGTCAACTGTGAGATCTTTACTAATTGATTAAATAGTGGATTAATAATTGAGAAATGCCATCCCATTCAGCCCACACCCCTCGCCTCCGGCACAGTTAAGTCCAAACAGGAAGAGGATAAATGAAAATAGGAATTGATTCCCCATCAGAAGAGATGGGCTGATAAAGGTGGTGCTAAGAATAACAAAGTGACATTAACAGTCAGCATACACTGAATTCTTAAAGCGCACCAAGCCCCTTCTAAGCATTTTATATGTAGCACTGCTTTGGGCTGAATGTTTGTGTCCCGTAAAATTCATTCACTGAAACTTAATTCCCGATGTGACAGTTTTAAGTGCTGGGGCCTTTGGGAGGTGAGTGGGATGAATGCCTGTAAAAAGAGGCGGAGGGAGCTCCCTTGCCCCTCTGCCAGGTGACACTTCAAGGAGAACAGTTATCTATGAACAGGAAGTGGGCTATCACCAGGCAGGAATCTGATGATGCCTTCATCTTGGCCTTCCCAGTCTTCAGAACTGTGAGAGGCAAATGATACTTAAGCCTCTCAGTTAATTCTTCAGAGAAGGAAACTGAGGCACAGAGAACTTAAATATTTTACCAACGATACAGAACTAACAAATGTCAGAAACAGGATTTGAACCCAGGCATGTTGCTTTCAGAGACCTTATACTTAACCACTAAGCTATAGGGAATGCAAGGATCAAACACTTAAAACATAACTTCCTGTTTATTAAGTGAAACTTCCATCCTGCCTAAGTGATAAACCCAGTGGTTGCTTGTCCTTTGGACAATCCTCATATCCTCTGCTTGGGGATGAGGACACTGATGAGGAGAAAGTTGCATTGAACTAACCTGAGACCAGGAGAAGTGACAATATCAGCCACGGCAGCTGATTTGCCAGTATGGAAGGCTTTTCTTGGTTTAACTCGTTTTCCAAACATGTCATTTAGATTAATCAGAAATCAACAAAATTACTCTATGCCCCATGCCTCCACCTGTATCATGGTTTGCTTATAGAGATACAAGCTCTTCGTTTATTGAAATTACAGCCACAGCACCTCAGTTGGTCCATCGTGCAAGTCGAGGGAAGGTAGGATGGGGGGAAATCAGAGATGAGGAAAGGCCTTGGAGACAAAGCAGAAGGGGAGAGGCTGTTCGTTTTGGAACATTTCTCTGGTCCAAGGCACACTCCAGGGTCAGGAGGCCACTGTGAGCATTTGTGGCCATGGAAACAGGGCCTCGTGAGCACAGAACATTTGCAGGAGAAGTGCAATGACAAAAGCTAGTTTTATGACAATCCTAAAACCCTGAAGGATGACATCATGGGTAAGGTCTTCAATCAAGTCCCATAGGCAAGTGCAATCAGTAGCTGCTTTTGTGAAACTTTGGAAGCTGCCACCAAGTCCTTGGGAATGAGAACAATTCAGCACAACCTGTTTGTTTTTAGAACACAATAGTCTCACCTGCCAATTTGGACATAACTCTTGGGCAGTCAAAAGAATATGGGGGTCAGCAACCCCCCACTTACTACTGTCATTTCCTATCTCAGGTTCACTTAGTGATGCTCCTTCCTACACATGTATTCTGTCCAGTCTCCCCATTCCCAGAGGGCTGAGGCAGAATGCAGCTAAGTAGTATAAACACGGATCTTGCCCTTACCACAAATCTCTCCCTGGACGCCCGGTCCTCCTTGGTCCCTGAGTCAGAGCCGCCCATCTTCTGGGCCAGACCGCCCAGCCTCCTGTATATGGTAAGACTGGATCCCCGTGGAGGCCAGCAATGCCTCTGGGGTCCTGGGAACCTCAGCATTCCCAAGGCTTGGAGGTAACCACTCATACAGCACTCATTTTTATGTGTCAGGCACTGTTGTAGGAATTGGGGATAGTGCAATGACCAAGATGGACCAAGTCCCTGCATCTCGTGGGAGAAAGAGAAATGGGCAATAAGCAAGTGAAAAATAAACACTCTTAACTTCAGGAAGTGAAGACTGCTCTGAATAAACATCAAGCAGGGTAAAGGGATAGAGAGTGATGGAGATTGTAACAGGGGCTGGAGTTTTGCTTCAAGCCTTAAACGGAAGTTTGGGGCCAGGTCACCTGAGAAGAAATGTCACCCGACCCTCCCTTGCCCAGGCCCCAACCACAACTCAGGACTGGCCCAGTGCAAAACGAACATGTCAGGCCCCTTGTTAAAAAATGATTAAGAGTTTAGAGACCAGGAAAGTAGAGCATTAAACCACATCCAGGGCTCTGCACACCTGCACAGCTGCCAGCCCATGACGTTGCCCTGCCACACCTTCGGACGACTGTCCGGGCTCCCACTAGAAGGCTCCATTCACCTGTCAGGTTGCCATTCTGCTTTATTGCTGCCAAAGCACTTCCTGTTTGCCTCCGTATGGCTAGGGCTTGCTTATCCCCTGAACCCCGAGCCTGCACCCCCACTGCCCTCTCCCACCCAGCCCCCAAGCTCGTCAGCTGGCAACCAGGCCCGCTCCCAGCCCCTGTTCTGCCATGAGATCCTGGTGAGCCTTCCTCACTCCCATTGGCTCCTCTGAGTATCCATGCTCCATTCTTACCGGCTGGGTCTTGCTCCCAGTAACAGGATTAGATCAAAGTACAAAATTAATGTTGCTATTTGGCCTTGGGTTCAGAACCTCTGGGCATATTCCTCTAAGCATCACTTAAGGAGAATGCTCGGAGGATGGCCCACAAGGAGAACGTGGCTGCGAGGAGAGCCAGCCTGTCAGTCTCAGCAGCACGGATCACTCAATTACCAGGATGTAGCTGTCACGAGGATGCTGGGATGGAAGTACTTGGTGGTTCTTTAAACCGCATGCAAAGGCATTTCAGAGACGAGGTTTAAATGCCATGCTGTTCCTGTCTCTGCTGCTGCTACTGCACCAGATGAAGGGGAAGGTATAACTGAATTTGTGTTTGTTGAATCAGCATCTGTGACAAGAGAGATAACAAATGTGAGTGAGAAAGGAAAGGGAATAGATCTTACAAATAGGAAGCAGCATCACATTTTTTTTTTCTGGGGATGGAACTTGGAGCTGAGTCACGTGGAGGCCTTTCTTGAAGGCCTGGGTAAGCCTTTTTAGTGCACAGGAATGAGGAGATAGGTTTCCTGGCTGGGACTCATTATTGCATGTGCAGGGAGAAGGAAATTGATCTGGCTCAGTAATGAAGGGGATTAAAATGCGCTTTCAGAACTGTGTGGGCTCTTTTTTATTTTCTACTAGGGGCCCAGTGCATGAAAGAAACTGCACCTTGAAAGAAACTGTGGGCCATGAGGCTGCGGTGGGCACAGGGGCAGGTCTCGGCCCATCCTCCGTACCCCTGCCCGGCCCCTCCCACCATGGCCCCTGGTCCCCTGTCTGCCAGCAACCCCACTCTGTCACCACTGCTCCCACACGCTGACGGCACCAGCCCCACTCACACCCACTGACAGCGTGGAGCGATTGGGGCTGACGCCAGCAGTGGGTACAAGCAGCAGCTGCTGCCCCGATCACCCCTCAGGAGCAGGGGGAGGTGGAGAAGCCCTCAGGGTTGATCAGGGCTGGCAACCGCTGCTCACACCGCTGATGGTGCTGAACGATCGGGGCCCATGCCAGGCGCTGGCAGCAGGTGCGAGCGCTGGGCAGGACAGTGGTGCGCAGGAGCAAAGAATTTTCAGAAACCATCAGAGGCTCGCCCCAATGACAGCAACTGGCGCCCCACCTTGGTCTGGCACCCCTGCTCACCTACTCCACCATCCCACCAGAGCCCAACGCCCATGTTCCATACTCTGCCACCTGCTGCCGAAGCCTGCCATGTTCCGCGTGTGCCCCATGGCGGTCAGCGAACGTCATAGCAACTGGTTGTTCAATTGTTCTGTTGTTCCTCCATTCAGTCTATTTGCATATTAGACTATTGTGTTCTAATATGCAAATTAGTCTTCCCACCACATAAAAACTATGAAAAAAAAGATGTCTTAATTTTATGAGTCGATACAACTTAAGCACATTCACATAATATGAGACGATGACCTATTCTGATACAAAAAAAAAAAATGAAAGCATGCAGTAGATTCCTACTGAGAAGAAACTGTCAGCCAAGGCATGGTTTCACTCATAAAATGAAATAAGAGCCCATGGAGAATTCAAACTTGCAACTATGGCATTGATTCCAGAGCAGTGGGAGCAGAATTGCAGGGTCACTGGCCTGGCTGTGTGTGTGGGGGCAGGGGGGAGGTTTCTTTAGTGCCTGCGTGCCCTCCATGTCCTTACTCTTACTCTATATTCTCTCCTTCTCCCAATCCTCCTGTTTTATTTTGCTTTGTTTTGTTTTCTTTATCTTGACCCACTTCTGGTTATGGGGTCCTTGATCTTGAAACTCTCTCAAGTGTCCACTTTCATCCTTCTAGCTTTATACCCCTTTCTGGCAGATAAGAGTCCCTTGGGCTTCAGTCCTGACTCTGCATTCACTTGGCCGGATCCTCTGCAGCCTCCACATCCATCGGTCTCCGGAGTTGAGCACCCAACTGACTTACATCAGTCCTTAGCCTCAGGGAAGAGTGAAGATGGTGAGTATATACAATGGAGTCACTTTCACCAAGATGCTAAAATTATGAACATTATGAAGGTTGAGGCATAAGGAAAAACTACATTCTTGTTCTAACTAGCCTGGGAACTTAAACTTTTTTTGGACTTTCCAGTCCTGCATCAAAGCCTAGATACACATCTGGACCTCCAGATAACCCTCTGGTTACCCCCTCAAGGACTCACTTACACACCCACCTGGCCTCTATTACCCAAACCACCGGACTGGACCAGACCTCCTGGCGCCCATCTCCCAGACCACCTGGCATCTGTCATCCTGCTATCTGTTATCTGACCGATAACCATCCTGGACCAATCCTACAGCCAAGAATACAGAACTGATAATTCCCAAGAATGTATCTTTTACTATAAGATTTTTTTTTTTTTTTACTTCTTCTTTGAAACACTTCCAGATTTTGGCTGAGCTGCATTTCCAGTTTGAAAACTCTAAAGCCTTGAAAAAAATCTTTATCATTTATTTCTTGAAAAGCCTCCCAACTCCTTTTGAGTTCACTTGACAGCCTCCAAAGACCTCCATCCCTTACCCCTCCACTCCACGGTACTTTGTGGCTTTCCCCCACCTCAGTTTCAGCTGGTACCAAGCACACATGGGTCATGGCTCAGCATCATTGAACAAAAGCAGGCAATTATTTTCTACTCTTTTTTCTCTGCATAGTTTTGCTAAAAAATAATATATTTATTAAGCTTGGATCTTATGATATATATATATATGTAAAAGTGCTTTGATATTGTAAAGTGCTGTCTTAAGGTTAGCTATTATGTTCAATCTGAAGGAACCCTTCTGTAATGGCAAATAGAAATAAAGCTTTCACAAGCGACATATATATTTCCTTTTTAAACAATTTTGTTAAAAATATGTTTTTATTGGTTTTAGAGAGAGAGGAAGGGAGAGGGAGAGAGAAAGAGAAAAACATGGCCTGCACACCCCCCGACCGGGGATCAAACCTGCAACCTGGGTATGTGCCCTCACTGGGAATTGAACTCACCACCTTTTGGTTTACGAAGACGATGCTCCAACTAACTGAGCCACACCAGCCAGGGCAGGAACATATCTATTTCCTTTAGGTTTTTCAAAAACATTTTTAAAATTAAAACACCATTTAATATTTGAAAATTCCCCTCATCCCTACCCATCTTTTTAATTATATTGATCTTAAAGAATTCCATTCATAGTACATGCCTATTGTATGGAATTATAAATTAGTTAACCAGGATCCGCAATGATCCCTGACAGACAAAGCTATATGCCCAACAAAATGGTTCAGCTTTCTCGTAAGACCTCCTTAGGTTAATTTCTACCAGAGATTTTTGTTAGACCCGAAGCAGGCTCTGACATAAGGTTCCCAGGACATGTATGTAGAGAAACACACCCGTGGGTCTTTAAACATATTTACCCAATACTCTGTTTCAATGATTTAACCATAAAAGTTTTCCCAAATTGCTTTTGCTTATTTTGTCTTTATTGATCCAATGTGATACATGATCGCAACATAAGATTTAATTCTAAATCAAGGTTTTATAGGCTCTTTAGTGGTGGCATTAATTTGAAATGAGCTTATTTCAACTAAAATGTGTTATATTGCTTCCATGTTATAGTCAATAACACATTTGTTTGTTCAGCTTCTCCATGTTTGTTCAACACTTTGTTAGCTCCTAATAAGGACCTTGGTGAGGTCTGAGTAGAACAAATGGGAAGATGTTTGGGAGTGCAATGAAGCAAGCCTGTTGTTTTTGTAAGCATGCAGTAAGAATTCTTTTAAGAAGATATTCATAGCTTTACAAGTACTATATGTGTTAACAGCTAGAGCTATTGTCAGCATAATAGTTAAGTCAATGAGTGCATTTAAAATTAGGTCCACTCAGCATTCAGCAGTTGGTGTTATGCTACCTTTGTATTTAACGTAAGATTTTCCATGTCACACTTAACCCTGATACAAAAATTTTGAAGTACATGTTTCTAAGAAAGAAGCCCACCAGATTTAATAGTAATTCTCAACACTAATTGCACATTAGAATCAACTGGGAAGCTTTTAAAACTATAAATGCCCAGGCTCCATCTATGACCAGTTCTGAATCTCTAGATCACAATTTTCAAGGTGCAGTCCCTGAATCAGGATCTTCAGCATTGTCTACAACCTTGTCAGAAATTCAAATTCCCAGGCCCAGCCCAGACCTACCTACTGAACCATGACACTGGGGGTGAGGGTGAGCTTGGGGCGCAGCCATTTGTGGGATTCTAATGCTGAAGCTCAAGAACCACTGCTTCAGGTACCAACATTTGTATTTTTTTAAAAAGCTTCCAGAGCCCTGGCTGGTTTGCTCGGTGGATAGAGCATTGGCCTGCGGACTGAAGGATCCCGGGTTCGATTCCGGTCAAGGGCATGTGCCTTGGTTGCAGGCACATCCCCAGTGGGGAGTGTGCAGGAGACAGCTGAATTGATGTTTCTCTCTCATCAATGTTTCTGGCTCTCTATCCCTCTCCCTTTCTCTC